CAGGATAAAAGAGAAGGAAGAGAGATTGGATTATAAAATCTCCATACAGTGTCTTAGGTATTAATATTTACTGCACTGTTTCCAGAGTGACCGGAAGTACTCAAGAGAAACAGAAGTAGCTGCTCTTTATCTACTCAGGCTCAGACTCCTGAGCAAGCTTTGTCATTGGGGATTGTGTGTTAAAATCATGCCCACAACTATCCTAAGGAATAAGTCTAAATTAGGTGATGGTCTAGTGGGTGGTCATTTCTTAGTTCTACAGAACTTGTTATATCTGCTTGCTATGGACTGGATGCTACTTGAGTGTGTAATCTGAGGTTAATGTTCCGGAAGTGTGATCCCAATGTAGTGGTATTGAGGTGGGAAAACCTTTAAGAGGTAGGACATGGTGGGAGATGGTGAGGTCACTGGAAACCCCATCCTTGGAAGGCAGTAATGTACTTCTTGGGTGACCTTCGTTAGTTTTCAAGGTAGAGAGGTGTTACAGAAAGAGCAGAGTGGCCACTGAGTCTTGTTTGCTTTCTATCATGCCATGTGGCTACTCTCTCCCTCACATATGTTCTCTGCCATGACAATATCTGCCATACTGTGATGTAACCAGAAGGGCCTCATCACAAAACACTCTGATGGGGTCACTGACCTTGAACTTCAGGCTTACTAAAGTGTGAGCCAAATGTACCTCTTTTCTCTCTCTCTCTCTCTCTCTCTCTCTCTCTCTCTCTCTCTCTCTCTCTATCTATATATATATATATATATCACTCCTCCTCATATATTTTGTTACAGCAACAGAAAATGGTCTATCATACTGTTCATGATAATAATCTCCAAATTCAAATTCTGTGATTCCACTGAAATCAGGAGTTACAAATTGAAGACTACACCTGAGTGATCCAGTACCCATTTCTGTTGCTTGCTGTTTTCTTTTTAAATTTACCTCATGAATAGCATTCCTGAAGGTAGAAAATATTACACTACAGGAAAAAAAATTAGCTACTCATAGCAAAAACAAGGGTGAGAACCTTTAAACTATCTCCAGATAGAGCATTAGAGAAGAATTTTATCTTCTTCTTGTGAAGAGCAATGTTACATAAGATCTAAACTTGTTTCATGAATTCTTCTAGAAAAATAAATTACTCTAATTCAATATTGCCTGAAATAAAAGAAAAATACATTAGTTGGCTAAACAATGACCAATTTTCAAATATGTACTAATAAAATACATATTGTATGTTGCCCCTGAACCTACAATAACTTCTTGGAAGTCATTGCTGAGAGAAAACCATCATGACAGACACTGACTTCTCCCTGATCTCCAAGTTACTTCTAACCCTGACTGACTGTGGATCATCGTAAATCCACTAGCATGTCTCTGTTGGCTTTTCGCATCTCTGCTGTCCTACAGCGATTCCCATAGCAAACAAAGGTCTCCCATGTTTATTTTTGGTTGGTGACTCCACCGTACAGTACTGGAAAGGCAATGAAGCCTCCGTATACATTCCACCACCCTCTCACATCTCAGTTTTGAGACACATACCCAAAAGGATTTCATGGGCACAGGCCACAACGAACTGACTAGTTTCTAAAAAGGGGGTGTCAGCCATATCTTATTAACCCTAAAAGTCCATTAACTTGAGACAGTTTCTACTCTTCTCCTGTGTTTCTATGATTCAATTGCACATTAAATTTCCACGAGATACAAAGCACTGCACATCCTGTTGTAACATGTCTCTAGGGACAGATGTATACATTGAGCTGTTAGCCAAGGAGTAGCCCCACTCACTAATTCACTCAAGTTCTCAACGTCCTTCTCCATTCCCAAATAAATCAAGTACTGCACAGTAATTTCTCCAAAGATCTGCAGTAAGATTACAGCCAATAGGCCTTGGCAGAACACTTTACCTGTGTCTTCAAAAGTCTCAGGCATCATAAGCTGCTCACACGTTGAGAAGCAAGAACTTTCCTCCGTGTTCCTAGATTCCACAGTACACCAGCACTTTGACAGAGGGCACAACTCGTGAGCAGAAATAACCAAATGCTGGTCTGACATACATGTAAAAGGAAATTTTTTATTTTAAATTTTAAATGCAATGGTTACCTTTCAAACTTCGGGCCCTCTCCCGCCCCAGAAATCATGAAAACAAAAAATGATGAGAGCTTAGTTGAATGTAAAATACAAAGAAAAGTTGTTCAAATAATTATTTACTCAAGCATAACTTTTAATAAATGTCTAGTTTTGAAGAACTAGGTACACACAATGAACAGTAAGTTAATAATTCATTCGGTGAGTATAGGTTACATTAGCATTTGAGATAATCTGTCACCAAATGCTGTGTCAACCCAAGTACTAGTTCTACTACTGAAATGCACTGAAATTAATTACAAATTACTGCAGTTCCGAGTCAATTTCTTATGTCTTTCCAGAGACATTTGTTGAGATACTGCAGTTAGGCCTCTGACTGGAAACCCTTTCTTTAAAATTATCTTGCGGTAGACCCCATTACTTCAAATAACCTTGGGGACTACCTGAAGAAATACCTCAAAAAATAATAGCAAACATTTGCTTTGTCTGGTCACATTAAATATATTTTAATTGGGCGGACAGTTCCAAATTTAAGATTTGTCTCAGATCGTTATGTTTGCACAAGACCCATTGTACCAACCATTTTTCTCCATTGTCTAAATACAATTTCCTTCTCTCTCATAAATACCCCCAACATATAATTCATTTGTCTTCATTTTAGGATGCAATGCCAGCCCTCTGGTTGTCTAGACTCTCCTTTGCTTCCAAAAGTGACAAACTAAGTTTCTCAAGAGACCAAGCGCTGCTCGTCATATGTTCCATTGCTGGAGTCCACCTTGTTTCTGAGTTACAGCAGTGGGGTAAGGAAGAAGCAGTCTTCCTTTGAAATTCCCTAACCGACCTGGATTAGCAATTAGAGAGCATTTAACTGCGTTTTCTTTTAATGTTTATTGATGCTACCGCCAACCTGCAATTTTTTCATGAGGAGACTTAACACCCTATTCAAAATCCAACTGACAATGGGGAAAAGAGAAATTAAAAAAGGAAAAGTATATCAAAAATATCCAGATGCTGCTCTGGTTTTTTGTTTTTACTTCAAGTTTCAGATTTCCAAATGCAGCTTCTCCCTAGTAAACATTTGTGGCAGTTTAAAACATGTTCTTCATTCATGGGATAGATTTTGTTAATCACTGGAAGTGCCATGAGGTGTGAAGAAACTCTATTGCAACTTTAAAACAATTCTGTGAATATAGCATCACAGAAGTTCAATTATATAAGCAGGTAAAAGCTGCCAAATTTGGAAACAAACACACTAGTACTAGTTAAATGGAAGTTTTCTTCAACGTAACTGTGTTATTCCAGAACAACTTTAAAACAGAGAGCACAGCTCAAGTACAGAACTTCTTATAAGGGGAAGCAGGAGTTGGCTAAATTGAAAGAGTTTCATTATTCTGTCCTTCTCCCTGTACCAAACTTTCAGACTGTGCCTTCTCATGATGCGCTCTGCCAAAAGTGTCCATTCCCCGAAGTTGTAGTGGACGTGTGTGTGTGTGTGCTGTCAGTATATGTAATTTTGCTTTTACAATGTTGGCAGTAAGAAGCAGCCTTCTAATTTTATTCAGCCTGATGATAGGCCCTAGCGTTTTAATTATTTTTCATGTTGTGAGTAATTTATTATTCATTGGGTATCTTCCCTGTAAATCTTGCCCTCGCTCTGTAAGATTTTTCTTTGGTGTCCAACAAAGGGTTTCATTGCAATAAGACTGAAGGTGTGTCTACATCCTTACCCAGAGCCCAAACAATGCCAGCCTTCCAGAGGAGCCCAGGAGCTTGGGGTGGGGAAATAGAGTCATTAAAGAGTATCTTCAGCCCTCAGCCCAGAGAGCACCAGAGTCACCACTGATGTCCTCCTAAAAGGGCATCTCCAAACACATCTCCCTGCAGAGCCTAATCTGGGGCCAAGAAGACTGGGACTAAAATTGAATCTCCCTGGTATCCGTGTGCAAGGGATTCCCAAAGCAATGGATTGGCTCCTTTTCAGAAACATGTGCCTCCTGATCATCCTAATGGTAAGTAGAATTTAAAGGCTTGGGGAGAACGTCTTGTCTCTTCTGTCCACTATCAAGCTTTCTAGGAGGGATTTGTTCCATTTTTTAATCTTCATTTTTCAAAATGTTGTCTAGGAGTTAGTTCAGCCACTGTTAATTTCAAAGGATCCTGGATGCCTGCAGGGACCCAGTAACATAGAAATGCCAAGTAAGAATCTAGCTGAATTAGACTTAAATGGCCTCAGAGACACAATCTCATTCAGATCAAATTCTAGGACAATTCTAAAGTTCATAATTAGAAATACAATTGTTTCCATCTTTTTTTTTTTTTTTTTTTTTTTACTTAAATCAAGCAGGTTGCTGTGAAAATACCCAGGCCAAGTGGTTCTGAAATTTGGAGGCAAGCTATCCAGCCTATTTTTAAAACACTTATTTCCCTGTGAATCTCTTTCATAGTAGAGGGATGTCAACTAAAAGTATGTTATATCTGATTATGTGATACTTAAGTCACATTATTAAAATACTTCTATAGTCCAAGAAAGAAACATATAAGTGATAAATTCTTTTGAAGCAAACATGGCACTTTGGAGTTTATTTTATTTTCTTTCAACCTTGCAGTGGACAAATGTAAAAGAGACACCATGCATAATAACTTCCTACCCTTGAGAGAGGCAAGGCAGCAGCTTCTAATTCTAGGTCCAGAGAGGGATAAAGATTGGGTTGACTAATTCATTAGACTAATGCAAATTCAATTAGAAAAGTTTATTTACAGAATTACTTATGGCTAGGTTAGACTCACTTAGACTAAGTCCACTGATGATAAAATGGCAGAACAAATCAGTCAAAATACACAAAAAAATTTTAAAAAGGATAAAGAAGAAGATTACTAGGAAACTGTAAACTTTTTTTCAAAGCAAATCCAGGCAAACAACATGTACAGTACTCTGCTGCACATCATTCTGCAAGAGTGTGGTCAGGCGTGCTACCACCTAAGGTTGGAAAATGATGCCCACGCTACTCTCAAGCAAGTGACATTGTGCCGACTCATCTGAACATTAGTTTCGAAGCACAGCAGCAGGGCTGGTATAGTGAGCGTCATTCTAGAGTTTAAGTGGCTACGAACTTCAAAAGCACTGCAGGAGCTCAACATTGCCAAAAGGCACACACCTCCAGCTTTCACCAGTTTAAGAGATGGATTATTAAACAAGACCATTTCTTTTTATTTAAAACAAAAAATACCAAGAAGAAATGTGACATCCTATGCTCATTTATTTACTAAATTCAAAAATTCCTAGAGAAAGAGGGAAGACGATTAAAGACTTGATCTTTAATAGAACTAGCACAGTACCCGTATATACTTCCTGTTATGCTTCTTCTGTAGGGCGTCTCTGCTTTTCTCAGTTCATCCTTTTCTTTTTTCCTGCAAAGCAAACAGCATGCGTTAATGCTTCAGAAGCAACTTAGGAGCAGTGAATTTTGCCTCCTATTGCTTTCTGCATAGGCATGTTTTATGATAATATTATTTAATTAAAGAGTTAATTTGTCTTCTCCTTGATCTTGAAAGAGTACTTTAGAAGGTTCTCAGGCTCTCCCAGTAGGGTTTTTTTTTTTGCAATCTGAGTGGTTTTGATATTTAGTTCTTCCCCACTTCTCACTGACACTAAAATATTTATTTTTGTATTTTAACGATAATTTTGCTAGGCATAAACTCTCATGCATTAGATAGCTTAAGATATTAATTAATAATATCTGGAGCTAAAAATAGTAACAAATAATATCCAGGAAGCAGAGACTTCCAGCATATTTCAAGATTGAGACAAATGCAAAAACAGGTTGAAGGAGAATCCATTTGCTGTTGTAGTTATCAGGAAAGTAGGTATGCCTCCTCGTCTTTAATATCCTGAGCTTCAACTCTGCCCCTTTTTAATCAACGGAATCAAAGCCTGTCTGGGGCATCATTGCAGCTTGCACTAATGAGGGCGTGGTGACCTTTCAGAGACTTACAGGTACTTTGTGTCAGCTACCTCTCAGCCACAGAGTACTTCAAACAAGGTTTTGACTGAGTTAACCAATAAAAGGTACCCAAAACTCCAGTTTCAATAGGCTGTTTCACTGGATCACGGGTCCTCTGGCATTTTCTCCCCTCGGATATTCATCACCTTTTTCTGCATAAACCAGATGGGGGAGGGAGGTACCGCCAACACTGAACCAAGTCTTAGATGTCCCAGGCTTGAGTCTCCGCTCCCCTTGGCGGTGGCTGTGTAACCCAGGTGAAAGCACTCAGCTCCTCGGGCCTTTTTTGTACCCCATGGAGAATTCGTGATGGGATACAGCGTCACTCAGTTTCTTCCACTGTAAAAATGTTGTGAGCTTCTAATTGCGTATACTGAATACTCATGTAAAGGAAGTTGGTGTCTGTCTCCTGGGTATCATGTGCACAAATTCACCTGGAGAATCTAAAAATTTAGGTAATGCTATGGGTTGTATGCATTTTATTAGGGAAGAATTACTGGAGACAGAATGGTTATTAGCTGAATGAGACCTATAGTTTATCAAACTAATAAGATCATTAAAAAGCCACTGATCAGATAAGAAGTCTTGTGCACCAAGCTATTTATGCCACATATGAGATCTAAACACTCCAATTAAATGTTTTGATTCTTGGAAAGTAGGAAATGTAGGAGGGTGCAGCAGACAGATACTATCTTACTGTAAGTTGAAAAAAAGTCACCACAACATAAAAAATGTGTCTAGAAGTAACCTAGCCTCTTTTCAATTTAGTTCTCACACAAAGCCATATTTCTCTGATACCTAGAAGAGATGTTTGGTTTTGTTTATTTCCACAGGCAAATTTCCAGAAATATAATGATAGGGGGGCACATTATCTGATTTGTTTTTTATTTCTACCAAACATAATATACTAAGTATAATTATAATGATTGTAATACTGCTTATTATGTGTAAATATAATACATATTTATTTAAACACATTATATAAATATATGATGCTTTAAATGAAGTAGAAAAAAATCTATATCTATATTTGGAATTTTTATACAAATAAATATATAAGACGCTTAATACATTTTATGATACACATTTATATATAGGTATGAAATAAATACCTATAAAATGTATATTTTTGCCTTCAAATTCCTATGTAAATATAATACATATTTATTTAAACACATTATATAAATATATGATGCTTTAAATGAAGTAGAAAAAAATCTATATCTATATTTGGAATTTTTATACAAATAAATATATAAGACGCTTAATACATTTTATGATACACATTTATATATAGGTATGAAATAAATACCTATAAAATGTATATTTTTGCCTTCAAATTCCTACAGAGCCCATGCCAGAAGTTTCATCTAAGAGGAAGGTTTATATCCCAAGAGATAGCTAGAATTATTACTGTACTATAAACTATAACTTTAGTACACTTTTTTTCATCCTATCAACCTATAAAACTGCAGAATAAAAATTCTGCCCTAAAAATATTTCATGGACATTAGGTCAGCTTTTTAAAGATGCTCCTCTTTTAGAGAATATCTGGATCCTAAAAGCCGGGTCTGATGCTTCCTTGCTGGTGCTTATGGGTCCAGAAGGAACATCCCACTGAGCAGGGAAACTGCTGACCAAGTCATGTGATGGTTCCTCCTGCTTCCCAAGGGACACTGCGTTGGAATTCCTCACTGACACAGGGCAGTTCTGATGACAGGGTATGCAACAGAGTGACGAGAACGAAGGCCTCAAATATTATTCACATGAGAAATGTTTGCCCTTCCTTTCCACACAGAAAATTACATGGCTTACAAACTAAAATGCCCCTACTTGATGCACCTTCAATTATAAACAAAAGTGGTATAATTAGGCTTTAACTTGGCATCCCCACCATATCCCTAGGACGATGCCAACTATTTTACTCAATAATTTTTATAAGCATTATTCAAGAGATAACTGCTTATTAATAAGTTGGTCTAGGTGTGCAAATGACTTCAAAAGTGACTTCAAAAAGGTAAATCATAGAGATGAAAAATAGCTTTGTTCAGGAGCTACCAAATACACTCAGTATGTAAATTATTACTGTGTCTTCTAATATTGCACTGAGCCCAGGCAATAACTTAAATTCCACATATCTTATATAAAAAAATGACAAATATTGGAAAAGAAAACAAAGCCTAGAAATTTTTCTGCAATTTGCTAAGAGCTGCACATGTATATTTCATTATACCTGTTGGATTTATAACTATAAAAATAACTCAGAATTTGCCTTACATACAGAAAACTTTGCCTGTCCCAATTTTGCCCATAAAATTATTCTAATGATGAATGGATTTAGTTTCTAACTTACATTTCTTACCAAGTCATTCTCCATATTTTTCACCAGCATGTTCTAGGTAACACTAATGTGGTTGATGCATTTCAGAATGAACATGAGAAATTTAAGCAGAGACGAAAAGGGTTAGTTCTCTGGAGTAAAGTCCATTGTATTATCCACCACCTTACACTAACAAAACATTTTACAGTTAACAAATTTATTTCAACCTATTGACAAAAATCCTGCAAGGTAAATAGATGTATCCCCATTTAACAAAAATTTTTTTAAATGCTCAGGGAAAGAAGGGTTCACCAACCCATAACTGAGAAGACAGTCCAGATTTGAACACAATAACACAAGAAAACTTTTTTTTTTTCTTTTTTTTTGAGACAGGCCCTCTGTAATTCAGGCTGGTCTTAAACTCACTATATAGCCCAGGTTGGCCTTGAACTCTCAGTGATCCTCCTGCCTGAGCCTCCCAAGTGCTGGGATTACAGGCATGTGCCACCACACCCAATCTTTCAAATGTACCATAAGTGACTCCTTTCCCACTTTGGGCCAAGACCATCTTCTATGCATTTGCTTCCTTTACACATCAAACACATTCCAATATCTTTTGTCCGTTATCTGCTTATCCCTCTTGTAACATGTAGCCCTACATAAACACAAACTAAGTCTTACTGCTCTCTGTATTCTCATAAATTGGCATATTTATCTGCTTTGCACAATGTCTTTTTCAATAGCCTGAAACAGTTCTGTTCAGATTTCTTCTAGTAATGCAATTTATTCCAAGGACTCCCAGAGAAAAAGAGAAGGTAAAATACTCTCTCATCAAGGAGGTCCACTGAAACTGTAATGCATTTAGGTTAAAACATGTCTGTCCAGATCATTTTCTTCATCCAGAGCAGCTGCCTCCAGCTCCCTTTTCTCGTTTTCTGGCCTTGTAATGATTGGTTCAGTGGGCTCCAGTCCACGAGTGCCTTTTTGCCAGGCTTTCAGGCCAAGCCACATCAGGAAACAATGCACGACCCATGTGTGCTCTGAAAAGGTGGCTTTTACAGGCAAAGGATTTCTACAGCAGTTGTCCAGGAGCCCCAACTATTCTTTATAGTTGGGAATTCGTGAAGTTGTGCTACTTCATACCCTTTGGGAACGTGATGTCATTACATGTTTCCTCCAAAACATCCATTCACAGATGCTTCCTGGACAGTGAGGAGCACCCCAAAAGAGTTCGGGATCTATTTTTAAGAGCTCAAGGGTAAAACTAGCTGGATTTCTTCAGGTAGACCTGCACTTACAGTGACAGGAGTCGGCAGCTTGGCTATGTTCCCCGCCTCAGGAAAGCCAGCTGAGCAGGGAGCAGGGAGTCAGGCAATGTACCACCAAGGCCCTCACCAGCCACAGCTTAAGTCCTGCTAAGTGGCAGCCCTCCCCTGGGATCCAGCATTGCAAGTGCACTGGCCTAGAAGAAAACAAGGGAGCCAGAGGAAGGATTTAAAGAAGGTTGTAGTCAAGAAGTCTAGGCAATGCTTTGGATAGTTTTCAGTTGAACCGGCTCTGTAGTCAGGACAAGAGCCAGCTCAAAGGAACTCAAAATACTTTCTCATCTCTCTGAACTAAAGACAAGTCTGGTTTGTGTGGCTAATTTCAAAGCTTTAAAATAATAGATTGTGTTTTATATGACAGGGGGTCCTATAAACGCACCCTCTGAAACAGGGGAAGACTTTTTTCCATTTCCTCTCCTATCGCAGATGCACCGAGCACCTGCTGCACCCCTCCCTTTCACACTGTGGTTCTATTTGGATCAAGCAGGAAGAAGCTGGGGAATGTGTTGAAAGTCATACTGGTTGAAGCACAGAACCCAGACTCAGACTCTTCTGCCTCCAAATCTAAGGAATTTGCTCTTAAGCACATTGCTTTGAATGAAGCCAAGTGGTAATTTAAGCCTAAACTTCCACTATGGAACAGATATTACTTCCCTTTAAATGTATACCAATTTCAGAAACGTGTATCTGCTTAATTACTATCCCAACAGTGGTCTTCAAGTGAGGCACATGTTTCACTGAAATGCAAGAGAGCTTCACAGGGTGTAAATGCAACAGATTTTAAAGGAATCATTTTCTAGATCTTGAGCTTCCTGACAGATGATAGATGATTGATATGTAGGGAGGGAGATAGATAGATAGATGATAGATAGATAGAATAATAGGTATTCTTTCCTTAAATCAACCTACCTGTGCATGCACTCACACCTGATTCTCCTCTCCTAAATTCCTCTTTTTAAAAAAATTCATACCTCTTGCCTGTGGCAAATATTGCTAAATTGCCCTGCAATTGGTCATAAAACTACCTGGCACATTAAAATAAGAGATAGTTCCAAATATGCCATCAGTATTGAGAATGAGAATTGACTCTTAAGCTCTGAAATATTTGTGCAAATTATGCAGCTTTCAGTTGTTTGTTTTCAACAAAATTAAAAGAGAACATAATAATCAGCTGATAAGTCATTTAAAAATCACTTTTAGCATAGATTGCTCTGTAGACTTAGGTCACATAATTCAGAACAAGTTATAAAAATGTAAGGACTCTGATTTTAAAAAAATCCTCCAATATCATCCTTAAATAAAAACATGTTCTTTTAGTACTACTCTCACAATTGAAACACAAGCCAAACAAAAAAGAATTGACGTGGAGACTCTTTAAATTCTAATAAGTGGTATTTACTCACAAATTGATACTTTGAAACTCTGTCTCTTGCCAGGGATGTAGCTCAGCAGCACAGTACCTACCTGGCAAGAGCAAGGCCCAGCGTTCAATTCCTGGTACCAAAACAGAAAAAAAAAAAAAAAAAAATAACAAAAAAAAAAAAAAAAAAAAAAAAAAAAAAGACCTAAAACTCTTATCTTTTTACATTATATTTCCAATCCAGTCCTACTTCTATATTTAAATACGGTGCATCGAATTTTCCATATTTTTCATAGAGTTGACTTAATTGTGCTACATTTTGTAATTATAAACCTAATCCAGTCCATTAGTTCATTGATGAAAACAGAATATAGGCACTCAAGGAGAAACGAGTGAAATACCAACTTTTAAAGAACATCATCTGTTTTGTTTATTTTTCTGATGAGTGACACTGGGCATCAAATGACAATGGCATTTAGATTCTATCTGCTACATTTCAAAGTGCTTTGACAATTGTATTTTTAAATACAGTTTTTAAATAGTTTTTAATTTTAAAACAGTCTTAAAGGTCATCCTTTGCAAATTTTAAACCTTATGATGAAAAATTTTAGCTATCAATACTAAAAGATTTGAGGAAGCACATCTCTTTTTTTAGAAATTCTTACTTTCATGAGCGAAATCTTTTCAGGCAATGCGCGGGAGAAAATTAGGAGCCTCAAGACGACCATCCATATCTTCTCCGAGCAGGGAGCACAATTATGTGAGGCCAAAATTCAAACTAAGTCAAAACAATTTGGTTAAGAATCGGCAGAGGAATAGTGACTGGGGTCCCTCCTCGGCTGCCGTTTTAATGCTGCACCCACAGGACAGGATAGTAACTTCGCAGCTTTCTGTGAGCAGGCAGACACCTGGGTGAGGATGTGCCCTCTGCGGAGTAAAAGTTACTCGCCCCGTCTCCAACGCGGTTGTCATGAGAATCCAGCTAGGACCCACTCTCGCTGCTCGTTTCAAGATCAAATGAGGCTATTGGGTTGATTATGGCTCCCAAGTTGCCCCGCTCTGCTGGTGCTCAGCTGTGTGGGTGGAGAAAGCAACACAGCTATGCGACTGTAGCCATCAGGGCTGCGGCAATGAAAAGAACAGCTGGGGAGGACCTCAAAGAGGAGAAAGAAAAGAGAGGAGAGGACAGAGAAAAGAGACACAAGTGTGAAACTCAGGGGGAGGACAGGCACAGTCTCGTGAATAAAGGGCGCATGTGCTGAGCTCACCAGCCTGGCGTTCACCAAGGTCATCCCTGGACCCACTGCAGGAGGTGCCTGAGAACCGCAGCGCTAACTGTAGGATGGTTCTCGGTTATCCTGCGATCCAGTGAGCAGAATGAGACGCCAGCACCCAAGCGAGGCATAAGGCAACCACCAAAACCTAGGTCTGTGTGAACTGATTGACAAGGAACTTTCCCTTGATAATCCCTGAGGGCAAGAAACAAACCACAAAATCACATGCGTGGTTTCTTTCTTAATAACTCATTTTTGGTTGGTGTCATTTGAACTTCGTCACTTGGCAAAAGTCAGCATCGGCTGCTGCCTTAAGATCACAGACCTTCTCAACTCCCATTTTTCTTGACTTTGCCATGAGGCACAAACCCCTGAATAGCCCTTCACCTGCCTTAACACTGACCTGTACTTACTCCGCCTACTTTCTGAATGCTTCCTCTCTGCTTTCACATCCAATCTCTTTTCCTCCCTCACCTCTGCTTCTTAACCAGTCCTCCACACTAAGAATCGGCTCTGCATCCACACGGTGTCTTTTGACCGATTATCTCCGCCTGCCCAAGCTCTCTGCACTTAGATTTCTCCTTTCTATTCCTTTCACAAAAGTAAGCATTCCCCCAAGATTCTGTTCTGTGCTTGCTTCACTGATTTTCTTTGTACATTTTCACTTAGTAGCATCATTTTCTTCAATTGTAAATAACACTGCTTTGGAAAATTCCACCTTTTCAGATTTTCTGTCTATCCCAAATATTAGAAGTATACTGAAAATAAATAAACAGATAGTAGTCATCAGTACCCTGCAGTCAGTCTCTTGCTAATTTTGTTTCCATTAATAAGTAGCTCCTCTCTCCCAGAATGATAAGCGTTAAGTTCCTGGAACCACCAACTCTTCCCCCTCAAAGTCCTCCCTCTAGGAGCCCTATCAGTTCCTTGCTGATAGCTCTGTTCTCACTTCTGCTACAAGGCCCTTTCAGCACCAAGGTTCAAGTTCTTGCTGTATCTTTCCTAAGCAATTGCTAATTAACTATTTGATGCATCCACTTCAAGTGTTTTCTCTTCTCATCTTCCCTTCATATCGATGATATGTTTAAAAGACTAATTTTGTCACTCCCAGTCTCTAGCCAGTGAAGTCCACCCTGCCCAGCCTGGCAGGTGAAACGCTTCCTGGTCTACCCCACACAGACACTGACCTCACCTCTCATGGCACCTCCACCTTATGCCACTAATCTTACCAGATCTGCAACATCCTCTGAAACCTTGCGCCTTACACCTGTGTTCTTGCTTTACTCCAGCTGAAGTGTTGTTCTCTATCAGTTCCTCTTGTCGAATCCGCTTCATCACCCAGAACCTTTAACAGCCCCTGCTCTACTGTGAGGCCTTCCTAAAATCCACATTGATAACTGGAGTTCCTTGCTTTTTCCTTCCATTCAGCCCACCTGTGCCTCTGTTAAAGCAGGTGCCCTACCTCGCCTAACAAGTCACACTTTTGCCTTGTCTAAAGCTTTGAAAGCCTCCACAAAAAATGTAATCATTATATACTGCAAATGTGTACTAATGAAAATGAAAATTAAAATAAATAATGAAAAATGTAAAAGCCTTTTAGGACAGAAAAGCTTTATTACTCATTTTCTATTACCCTTGTTAGTTTTACATTTTTAATGAAGTGTATGTTTAAGAAATTAATGAAAGAATACCATTGATGTTTTTATGATGCTGTTTCTTTAGGCTTTACACTAACTCTGTGCCTTCTCTGACAGGTGGTGCTGGCAGTAAACAGTGAATTTATCGTTGAGGTAAGGTATAATAAAACTATCTTCTCTACTTAAAATCAAAAGAAAATTGGGTTTTATATTATATATAAAAAATTAGAATATTTAAAAATATAATCATCCAGGTAAAAGTTAAGAAAAAAAACATCAGTCAAACTGAAATAGCAATAATAAAACCTATCCTATCAAATTTTTATACTTTAAGGGCATGGCTTGGATAGGTCAGTGTCTCTGTAATTCCCACTCATAAAACTATATTAGTAGCTTATATGAATGTTTCCCAATCTAGCAGTGTGACAGTGCACATCTGTAATCCCAGTACTTGACTGAGACAGGAGAATCACAGTGAGTCTGAGATCAGCTGGGGCCACATAGTGAGTTCAAGGCCACCCTGTACTACGTGGAGAGATTGGTCTCAAAACATAAAAAAAGTTTCCCAGGGTCTATGAATAAGGGAAAGATGTAAAAATTAAAAATATGTAATTGCAATTAAATAAACCAACAGGAAATCTGCTGCCTTTGGAGTAGGACTCAGGAAATAAGACCACTGTCCTGTATCTCTGGTCTTCCAATTTTGCAAGAATGTACTTGGATGCTTACCCCCAGTGGTGTCCCTATCAGCAGAAGAGAAAACTTCCTTCCCAGTTTAGATGAGTGCAGCTTCTATTTAGGATGAGATGCACTCAGAGGAGAGGCAACGTGAAGTTCCGGGGAAAGCAAAGTCCTGTCAGAGCACAGGGGAGGGTGAGACAGGCCAGGCTTCTACGCAGAATAGAGAAAAGCTACCCTGTACTATGAATTATTATGCCACACAGAGCTGGTGGAATCTGTGTGACTTGACTCTTAGAAATAAGATGATTCCAGCAAAGTAGCGACCAGGGCTGGGCAAGCTATATTTATCCAGGATTGAGAATTAAAAAGTAAAAAGTTCCTTTCCTCCTCAAATTCAATACCATTGTTTCTTCCGGATGCACCTTTCAATGCTAAGTAAATATCTGTACTAAGTGTAAGTAGTCTAACACTATCAGAACACTACCCTTGCTTAAGGTGAAAGAATTAGACATTGAAAACGGCACTACAACATGGCAAACCGTCAGAAGACAGAAGAGGGAGTGGATCAAGTTTGCTGCGGCCTGTCGGGAAGGAGAGGACAACTCAAAGAGGAATCCAATCGCCAGAGTAAGAGACAAACCACACAAGCACATCCTGTGCTGATAGCAGATGCATTGCTAGCAGGAAAACTCTGAAATACTCCAGGGCTTTGAAGCCCCACTGCCCCCACATGGGTTTAGGAAAGTGACATGTAATCACTTGCTTGCTTTTGAATGTCATGTGCTGGTGGCTGACACAAGTGTGCTTGGCCAGAGCGTCCCAGGAAAGTAACCCTAGAAGAAAGACTTTGTGCTGGAGTGAAAATGGACTGTGGCTATTTCTCTGTTGTTTGCTCATTGTTGCCTGCATGTGGTAATCGAAGACGAACTCTTCAAAAGGTCATGGGTTTATCCTGTACTTGATTAACTCAAGAAAGTAAGGGTGGTGTCAAAAGTTTGCCAATCTCTATTGTTGTTTGCTCATTGTTGCCTGCATGTGGTAATCGAAGACGAACTCTTCAAAAGGTCATGGGTTTATCCTGTACTTGATTAACTCAAGAAAGTAAGGGTGGTGTCAAAAGTTTGCACCAATCTCTACGTCTCAGAATGGGGGGGGGCTCTAAAAAGTTCTTCAAAAACACTGGCTCTCAGTGAGTAAGGCAAATTAAAACAAGAATGTGTAGCAAATTGATCTGTGAAGTTTAGGATCAATTTTATAGTTTTGCTTGCTCTTTTTGGGCATCTTGGCCTTGGGCCACTGTAGAAACCAAGAGCAGAGTGATCAGCCCAAATTCCTTCCTTGTAGATTTACAGCAAAAAACAAAGTAAGCATCAGCTGAGGTTACAGATAGAACCTCAGCTTGAGAACAGAGCCTGTGTTTTTTCTCAGAACTTCTCAAACTGGAAAGATGCTTTTAAAGTATGATTTTTCATTTAACTTAGGGTTAGACTTTTATGTTTTCCTACTTACATTGCATATCCCCTTTTTACTTCCACTTTGGAGAGTTTTCTTCTATATATGAGAAAAGATTAGACCTAAGCTAACTGAAATTGTATTTCCAGCTGATTTTAATTAATTGTAAATGTTTGGGTGACAAGTCTTAATATTTTACTGGACATGCTCATCTTTAGTATATAAGTGAGCAATATATATATAGCCATTTTTTAAAATCCATATTAGCAGAATATTGGCCATAAAGTCTATTAAGCAGAAGCTAAGCGTGGTGACCCATGCCTGGTCCAGCGCTCTAGAAGGCTGAGGCAAGAGGATTACAAGTTCATACTCAGCCTGGGCAATTTAGCAACTTTATAAGACCTTATCTCAAAATAAAAGTAAGTAAATATATAAATAGGCTGACAATGTAGCTCAATGTGAAAACCTTGGGTTCAATCCCTAGTACTGCAATATTATACATGCTATAATTAATATATAGTGATATTATGTATTATATATTAGGTATTTCACAGAGGAGTGATACATTAGAAATTTTTTCCATCTCTAAACACTATTTCTCTTCTGATTTTCTTAATATGTTTATCTCTTTGGCTGAATCTTGAACTCAAGTTTAAGCAGGATATTTCTTACTGTAACACAAATTTTAAAAATTATTGAAGATTCTGATTTCTTCTGTCAGACTAAATGCAAACAAAATCAGAGAACTGAATGACATATTGTTAATAATAGCACATGTGGCACCACATATGTGTCTGTGCACATACGTGTTGGGCTAGGGCTGTATATATGTGACCTCATGCAGTCCCACATCAAACCTATGTATGCATAATGGTGCTGTCTCACCAGAAGCTTAGCGAAGGTCAGCGATTTCAGGGTCGCACGGGACTAAGTCATGACGCTGCATTTCAAACCAAAGCTCATAAGGCTGCAATTTCCTTTCCCTTTTGATTCTACTGCTCTCTGGCGTGTATGATCGACTCTAAATGAGATCAGATCCTATTTCCCTTGTAGATTCGCTCCGACTGCGAAGTGAACCAGAAAATCACCTACCGCATCTCCGGAGCAGGGATTGATCGGCCACCTTATGGTGTGTTCACCATTAATCCTCGGACAGGGGAAATTAACATCACTTCGGTGGTGGACAGAGAGATAACTCCACTTTTTTTGGTAAGTCACAACAATGTGTTTTGATTTATTCATACCATTTTTCTTCCCTTTAAAAAAAAAGTCTCAAGACTATGGCTTCAAAGATAAAACATAATAGATTGGAACAAATGAAGGGCTTGAAGGGATGAGAAAAGGGTGAAAATATAAATTTATTTTTTAGGATTCTCTTGTGTGTTACAGCTACATGTGACCAAAAGTCTTGATCATATTTCCGTTTTTGCATGGTAGTATAGTCTGAATTCAAGGGAAAATAATTTCCTTGCTTATTTCGCCATGTATTTTCAAACATGTTACCTAATTTCTTTAGTGAAGCATGACAACTCTTTTTCTGACTCCTCACAGATCTACTGCCGTGCTCTGAACTCACGGGGTGAAGATTTAGAGAGTCCGCTGGAGCTCAGAGTCAAGGTCATGGACATAAATGATAATGCCCCAGTCTTTACCCAGAATGTCTACACAGCCAGCATTGAAGAGAACTGCGATGCCAGTAAGCCGAAGGACACACCCTTCTCCACATTTACTGCCTCTGCTTCCTGTGGGCAAAAGCTTTAGAAGATTGAAATATCGATCATTTAAAGATCAGGAAAAAAAAAAAAGCTAACTTGAGCTTTGAATGACCCTCACGAATTTTAATTTACAACTCAGACAGGATAGAAACATGTCTAAAATGCTAAATATCCTCTGACTTGTACAAGATTTTTATGCTTGCACTTTAGCGGGTTCTTGGCATCAGAGATCACAGGACAATGAGTAAACTGAGAAAGAAACCATGAGTGTTTGAAAAGTCTCTGTTCTAGTCTATTCCTCAAAGTCTGCGGCTGAACCTGACCAGGTAGAGGGATAGTGAGCCTCGATGATTGTTCCCATCAGATGCTTCGCTGAGAACAAGAGCCTTCATGGCCTACACAGAAAGTGACATTCTGAGCTCTCATGTAGTTGTTTCTTTCCATTCTGCCTCATTCCATTTCCAATTCTAACTCCTCCCCACTTCTTCCTTTATATTAGTTCTCCTAAAACTCCTTTCCCTCTTAGTTTTGTTTTTGCGATGCTGCTTTTCTCTCTCCACTCTCCCTGCCTTCTACCTCTTTTCCCTCCAATGCTCTAATATTCCTTCCCCTTTCAAATCTGTGCCTGCCAACATACCTTTAAGTTCATTGGGGGCAGAGGTTATTAGAAAAAGTAAATTTTAGAAGAAAGTCCAACGGATACAAGAAGTAATATGGGAGGACACAGAGAGGCAGAGAGGAGACTCCAAAGACTTCCCTGTCTTCCTGATAACAAGCTTCAAGAAAGTCTTAATGAAGGAAGAGAAGGAGAGACCCATAAAGTCCCCTCATTGCTGGTTAGCAGAGTAGAAATGCTTTCTAAAGTGATAATAGTTTCTAAAGAAAGAGCTACAGAGCCAGTGCACATCTTCATAAACTGAAGTCCTTCAATCTTGGTTCTTTTTTAAGGAAGCCCTGAGTATTTCACATTGAGGCCTGGCCAGGAAGCAAAAGAACATCAGAAAACCACCAATTCTGGAAAAATCTGTGCTGTGGACTGATGTCCTTGGGATTGGCCAGAATACCTGGTTTTTGTCTCTATGAGTAATTAAGAATAGCTGGGATTCCTATGATCAAATCTTCTCTTCAATAATTACATATTTTTGAGTGCTTGATAAAGTGCTATCACCTTTCTGTGCAGCCATAGTAATTATCTATTTCTGGATGAATGACAGCTAAGCATATAGGTGCTCAATAAATAGTTCCAATGTTATCTTTAACTGAGCTTTAATCTTTCTTAATTAAGCATTTTTAAATAACTGCACGAAACCATGGCCAAAACAAAACAGATAATATCACTTCCTTTGACTTTAAGACGATCTACTGAACATTTTCATATATTAAAGACCACTATATTTTGCTACTAATTTTCCATTCAATCATTTAAGGAGCACAAATACTTTATAAACAGAAAGAGATCCATAGAAGCAACCCATTGTTACTTTTGCAAGCATATGGTATATGCATAAGTTATACTAATATGTTCTCATAGAAAACTTGAACAGAGGACCAGGGATGTAGCTCAGTGGCACCACACTTATTTGGCAAGTGCAAGGTTCTGAGTTCGATTCAAGAAAAAAAGGGGGGAAAGAAAAGTTGAGCAGAGATGATTCAGGAGAAGCTAATCACTCTTTCTTTTTATGCCTAAAGATTTGATGCATTAATCCTAGCAGTGCCAACAATTCTCCACACAGCCTGTTTTCATTTCTAGATGCCCTGGTGGTAAAGTTGAGTGCCACTGATGCAGATGAAGACAACCATCTGAATTCTAAGATTGCCTACAAGATCATCTCTCAGGAGCCTGCAGGTGCCCCAATGTTCATGGTGAACAGGTATACTGGAGAAGTCTGCACGATGTCCAGTTTCCTCGACAGAGAGGTAAAGCCTTCTGTGATTGAATAATGAGAAATAAAGAATTCAGTTTTGAAAAACAAAGATGAAGTGACCCATATGTGCCTTACTCCTGTGTAAAGGAGAAAAGTAAAACTTGTTCCATTCATTTTTTCATAAAAATTAAAGATCAGTTATATAGATTTTATTTGACATATATGCAAAAATAAAGACAAGCAATGGTACTGGAACGTGTTGGATTCTGTTCACGACAAAAGCTAAGTCTTACAATTCTTTCTCTTCTTAATTAAGCAACACAGTACATACAACCTGCTCGTGAGGGGCTCAGATCGGGACGGAGCCACGGATGGGCTCTCCTCCGAGTGTGACTGCAGAATCAAGGTTTTAGATGTCAACGATAATTTCCCTGTCTTGGAAAAAACTTTAGTAAGTTATAACCCTTATGATCCTTTTCCTATAAGTGTAGAAACTAAAGTTGCTTTCCTGCTAGCTTGGGAGCCTGCTTCTGTCATGTACGTGGGTGGCTCAACTTTGTTGTATAAACCTTGGAAATAAATGTATATATTATCTTTGACTCACTATCCCAAGAAAACTTTCTCTGTGAAAGCAAGAGCTGCCTACTCCATATGATTTACTCACATAAGTGTGGAAATGTGTTTGTATAACTCTGGGAATAATGTAACAATAGTGGTATATTTGTACTTGCTTCACAATGGACTAAATTAGTTCTACCAGAATCTCAAATATTTTCAACTTTCATTTTCATCTGTATGCATAAAGAAAGTCCAAATAAAGTCCAAAATAATAGGGCCAAATCTGGATTGCCACTTATTTTGATAACAATACATTTTATTGATCATTCCTTTTCATGTTGTCTGTGGCTTCTTTTTGCTGTGACAGCAGAGATGAGAAGCTATAACACGGATGTTCTCGCCCGTGAAGCCAACTATCTGGCCTTTTATGGAAAAAAAAATTCATCCCTTACCTAAATGAATAATCAGGAAAAATGAAACAAAGTGATAGTTTGCGCTGGTTTTAAAATAATGTGATTATTATATTTCTGATTGGGAGTATGCCACTAATAATGGCATAAAAATCATTAACCTAATTTCTTGGTAACATTTTATAAGAAAATTATATGTAAGTATCTTCAGTTTTTGAAAATTCATTGATTTTGAAACTGATCTCTTATTTTAGTACTCAGCAAGTATCAAAGAGAATTGTTTGAGTTCCGAACTGATACGATTACAAGCAATTGATCTTGATGAAGAAGGCACTGATAATTGGTTGGCAAAATACGTAATCCTCTCTGGAAATGAGGGAAACTGGTTTGATATCCAAACAGACCCACAAACCAATGAGGGCATTTTGAAGGTCATCAAGGTACAGTATGAGATTTGCAATAATTTCTTCCAAATAAGTTTTATCTCTTAGAGATATACACTGTTTCCAAAAGAATACTCCATCATCTTGACTTCTGCTTATCTAACAAGTATTCTAAGTAGGCCACTGTGGCAGTCTGAGCGTTCCAGCCCAGGAATACAATATTTACTACAAAACTAAACATAAAAGGCTGTTTTGTTCTCATAATGCCTAATATCTAGTTGAGAAGATAAGGCAAGCACCCCCATATGAAATAATGCACTTGAGTAATATTATAAATAATGATACAGATATTATATTACAAAACACAATTTGTAAGTGAATAAAATGTAAAATAATTAATGAGATCAAAGATAAAGAAGACCCATCTAAGCTAGATTTGCCTGAAAAGTTTTTCTGCGGGAAATGAGGCTTACTTAAGCAGGACCATGTATCTGAAACTCCTGATTTAGGGAAAGAAAGGAGTGATCACAAAAGTGAGAAGACACGAAGCATGTTCAGAGCCTGGAGAGGATTCACAAAGTGCAAAAAATGAGACATCAAGTTACAGTTGTTCTGCTGAGATCTCTGAATGCTGAACTCTAGGGTTTGACTTTGTAGTATAGATAATTTTGCTTAAACTACTTTATGCTTTAACTTCATAGACAACAGTAAAATCTAAGAACTTATAAATTTAAAAACCATAAACCAGTAAGATTCAAATTAACATTTATATAATGAGGAAAATTATTTTTCCTCAAAGGAAATTGCTACCAATAATAATATAAATGACACTTACAAAGAGGAAAATATATACTCAGATAAGCACATGTTTATTTTGGTGCACAATTTTTATAATAATTCTATTCTGTTACTACTTTATACTGTTTAACTTACTGCAAATTTTTTTTCTTTTTTGCAAAATATTTTTAAAATAGTATATGAGGAAGCCATTTAGCTTTCACCTGATGCAAACATATCATTTATCAATTAAGTCTCTTTTCTTTTTACAATAAGCCAAAACAATTTTTAAACCATTATTATTTTACCACCCAAAATAGTCATGAACAGTGAAATCATATGATATATTAATTTTTGAGATGATCAATAAAAATTTTTAAATATCTAAATTCACATTTTAAGATTTTCAATAAAATGAAAACATGAAACAAGACTCAAAGAATATATCATAGTCTTCCTGTTTGGGAATATTGCTTTAAACCAGGGGTCAAAAGACTATGGCCCATCAGCCAAAGCCCTGCTTTGTAAATAAATTTTTATAGAAACATAGATATACTCATTTATTTATATATTTGCCATGGCTAATTTCATACTCCATGAATTAGTTCATTACTTGAAACAGAAACTGTATATGACCTTCAAAGCCTACATAATTATACTGAATCCTTAATTTTAAAAAAATTTTTTTCCAACCAGGCATGGTAATGAATGCCTGTAATTTCAGCACTCAGGAGGCTGAGGCAGGAGGATTGCCTTGAGTTCCAGGCCACACTGAGCTACATAGTGAGTTCAAGACAGCCTGAGCTACATAGCGAGACCCTGTCTCAAAAAACAAATAAGGGCTGGGGATGTAGCTCAGCAGCATTATGCCTGCTTGGTAAGCACAAGGTCCTGATTTTATTTCCTGGTACTGGAAAAAAAAAATCAAATAAAAAAATTTTTTTCAATACCTATTTATACACCAAGAAATGTTTCGGGATATTGCCTTAAATAAAAATAACATTATAGGCTCAACTGTGGAAGATTAAAGTTATGAAAATAATTATTATATTAATCAGGTCTTAAGGTAGTATGAATCTAATCAGAGGCAGTATCAACAAGAAAGGAAGTAAGAGAACCAATTTGAAACCACTGCAAGATATAAAATAGGAAGAGAAAAGTAAGAGGTCATCTACCAGATCAAATTTTGAATTTTCACTCACTTTCTTCCAAGGATTAGAATGGCATTCAACCTTGCATTGGGATTCAAAATCTAAATCAGAGTGAAGCCTAATCCATTTCTGGAAGGGTTATCTTCCTGATCCACTCTGGATCAAAAGGTTCTATTCTTGGGCTGGGGATTTAGCTCAGTGGTTCCACCGCCTGACTTGCGAGCTCAAGGACCTGAGTGCTATCCCCAGTACCAAAAAGGAAAAAAAAAAAAGATTCTATTCATCTTTTCTCCAGGAACCCAGTTCAAAGGTGACTTTTCTCAGGGTGTGTTATTTACTTACTTGAGTGAACACTATAAAGGATTTTTATCCTCTAGACCAGATGCAAATACAGTGTAAGGCTGGCTATAATAATCATGAATTCTTTACATTTGTTTGCATCATTTAAAAAATAATTACATGTTTATTTACACCATATATATTGGCTCCTTTATTGTGCTGCTAATACCTTCAAGAGATTATCAGATGTGAATTCTGAAAGGGAAATCAGGGTCCTATGTAGTTATTCATTCAACAGTTGTGAACATTTTTTATCGCATTCTAAATTTATTTTTGTCATAAATTAATTAAATTTAATTTTGTCATAAACAGTTTGAAAAGAAACACCATTTTCTTTTAGTTTTTGTATAAGAAATTTGAAGTTCAGCATGTGATTACAATTTAAAGTTGTAGGTTAAAATGACCTACATACTTGATCATGCCACAATAGTGACAATATATATCTAAAATACCTAATCCAGTAATAACCAAATTTTTTTCCTATTCAAAATCTAGCTTTCATTGCTCTTGTTCTTTATTCTAGTATGTGGCTTGCTTACCACCTTTATATTCTATCAAACGATCCTTTGCTGGTTCAAAGTTTTTCACTTTCCATCATTTCAGACATTGGATTATGAAAAAATGCCTAATGTTCAACTTGGTATCGGAGTTAAAAACCAAGCTGAATTTCACCACTCAGTTGCTTCCCAATTCCGGATGCAATCAACCCCTGTGAGAATTCAGATTATTAATGTAAAAGAAGGACCTACATTTCACCCAAGTACCAAGACCTTCAGTGTACGAGAAGGAATAACAGGACACTCCCTGTTGACTCGTGTGCTTGGCACATACACCGCCATCGATTTGGATACAGGAAATCCTGCGACAAATGTCAGGTATGGCCCATGTGTTCACATTAGTGTGGCCTGGTGCAGACCAGTGTCCACGCATTTTGTTTGCACCAGTACTTGTTAGCTGTAACACTTTCAGGATTTTGTTTTGTTCTTACTTGTTTCAGGAGACTGTGATAAAACACGAAATTTTCTTAGAATTTTAATAGTGCTTTAGACAGTATAAAGGCTCTGATTAATTATGAGTAATTGTATCCAAAGAACAATTATAAGATCAAAGAATTACCTAAGTTACTCTAAGAGTCTCTCTGATCTCTGGGGGTGAGTTTTACTACCCTAGACTAGGGCTGATTAGGGCATATTGGATAAAATAATACGCCATAAAAAGTGACTCACTGCTTGTTTCCTTAAAACTTGTGGGTATTTATGACTTGGAGACTAATTTCAACCCTCTGCTTAGTATAAGAGGAAAAAAAACAATGGATGAAACTAAAACACAAATGTTTTAGAAATTTGATAAGATAGAGTGTCAAAAGAGGAGAAATAGAAAGACAGGTATAAAGAACAATAGATATATAGAGTTTGCATAAATTAGGACTATTGAAATACTCTAGAAATAATTTACAGGAAATGGGTCTTTTCTCTATCCTTCTTGTCTCTGTCTCCTTTCCTTCTTCGCAATGCTTTTTGGAATGAAGAAAGTCCACTGGCTTATAAATTACTTTGACATTACCTTTTTAACTCATTTGATCAACTAACAAGTTGACACACTCTAGTAAAATCATGAAGTCTGTAAGTATGGAGAAAAGGAAAAAAAAAGTACTAAATAAATGGGCTGGAGATTGGAAATAGTACCTGGAACAGAGAATCAAATCTCCCAATTAGGTCAAGCTCTTTAACCCATTATCTGTAACAAATCCCAGATAGAGAAATCAAAAGAGGAATCTCAACCCCTTGAGTAGGCCAGCAATGAGATACTCAGAATGCAGCATGTCTTCCATTCTACAACAAACTTACCAAGGGTGCCATATATAAAAATGAGAAAACAATCTTTGGTCTTTATAATAAAATATATTTGATATTGCTGTGACACAATGAATAGATCTGAAATAAAGTCATATGTTTTATTAATTTTGCTAAGAACTGTAAGAGTATGAGTGATGAACTTTCAAAGCTGTTGCGAACCTGGGATTAATATATTTAATATGGAATTTCCATTGATATGTATATTTTATTGATTTTTTTTACATTTTTATTAGTGTGTATTCATTATACAGATTAATAGGTTTATTTTGGCAGATTTGCACCTGCAGGTAACATATTTTAACCATCTTCACCATCACCCCATAAGCCAAAAGAGTTGCTATTGTGAAACACACAAAGGCAATATATAAGTTGACTACATTGTAGCTCCTATGTGATTTAAAAATACTAATTTTCCTATAAGCATAACTATGAACTTATTTATTTAAAAACAGGTATATCATAGGGCATGATGCAGGCAGCTGGTTAAAAGTGGATTCAAGGACTGGTGAGATACAATTTTCTAGGGAATTTGATAAGAAGTCAAAATACATTACCAATGGGATATACACAGCAGAGATCCTGGCTATAGATGGTAAGAAAATATCTTTTCAATATGTTAATTAAATTTAGACTATTATATTTTAAGTATTACACATATTGTTATTCTAATTTTGATATTTGAATAATGCATAATATATCATTTCGAGTTACAGACATGACTTAAGGGAAATTCTAAGCACCTTAGGTCAAGAACTAATTTAGTTACACTTCTAATTTACACTTAAGCTATAATTTATTTCACTTACTTCCAAAAGAGAATTATATCCAACTTTCACCATAAAGAACAAGAGTTGAAGATGAAATTTAAAATTTAGTTTCTGCTTGTAGCCTCATCTCTTGAGTAAAGCTGATGTCACTTGTAGAGTATGTTAGGAATGTTTGCCTAAAGTAAAGACTACAAAGCTCACAGTGGGGCCACCTGGCAGTGAAGCAGTGTCCTCAAAAGTATGGGGGTTATTTCAGCACCACCAAAACTGAGCTACGTGAGAAACCTGTGTGAGTGTTGCCTGATTAAATGCATTATTCATGATAAGATGTTATGGACCAAGAAGGGGCAAAGCTATCCCAAAAATAAGATCCAAAGTAAAGCTGATAAGCTCACCTGTACTGACTTAATTTGAATTGAGCCATTTCTCCAGTAGGAAAATCTATTGCATGTTCTTCTTGGTGAACAGAAACAGGAATTTATCAATAGTTAATGATTTTCCAACACTGTACCTAGGAAACTAACTGCTACCAAACAAAACAGAGAAAGGCCAGTAACCAGGATGAAGGGGAAAGAGCAATGTCCTAAATACATGCCAAATATAAATAGATACTGTAGGCTTGCATTAAATTCACATGTGACCTTTATAGTAGCCAAACAAAGATAAATGAGCAGCATAAGATTGAAGGGGAAACCATCATGAACCCAGGCCACAGTCCATATATTCACATCTTTATCCTGACGATGTTACTTTAGCATCTGGGTCAGTTATATCAACATATTGCCTTTGTGTTACCAGGGTTCCAGAAGGCATGTTTCTAAAATGGATTCTAGCCATGTTGATCACATCTTATGTTTGCATATTGACAATAGGTGAAAATCTTCAAAGACTGCTACAAAAAGTTAATTAAGAGAGAGAAGGTGTTAGCAAAATGTACCAGGAAAAAACTAAAAACAAAGCTCCTTGCTTATTCACCTGTGCAGGGCATCTGCACTGGCACAGAGCTACCCAGGTGGCTCTGTTCAAAACAGGATGTGCCACCATCAAGGGAAAAGGCAGAGCAATATGGGCAACGAACTGCATTTGAGAGCAAATGCTCTCCTTTGTTTGTGACGTCCTGAGGCCATACAAGAACCAAGGAATGATGAATAAAAGAATCTATGGAATAATCTTATGTCTCTCTGAGAGACACATTAACCTAGAATGTCCAGTGCCCAACAGGGTAGAGGTACAGTCTGTATAAAGTCATGTAGGGTATGGATAGATAGATCTGTTGGTTCATTATCACGTGATTAACTCACTAACACTACTACCTAGCACAAAAAAAAAAAACTTTAAAAGAATTCTATTAACTTTTCAGAAAATAACCTTATAAAGTGGTATAAAGATGGTGATGTTCTAGTTTACAAGTGAGAAAACTCAACTTCTGTTAAGGATTTTAAAAATCTTTATTCACTATCACAAACATAAAACATATAGTAGAAATGGACACTAAGCCCAGAATCCTAATACTTATCCTATGCCTTTTCTAATAAATATATTGACCAAAAGTTTTTCTCACATAGGCTAAAGAAAACCCTAATATATGTATACATATATATATGTATATATATATGTGTGTGTATATATACATATATATATATATGTATATATACACACACTTGTTTTCAGAAATGCTATTTTAGAAAGAAATAATATGGAATTGAAATCAACAACAACAAAAACATAAAGGAAAACTAAACAAGTAACTGCTCCATTTCGGCAAGCACAGGGTCGGATAAGCATCCTAAATGGAAGGCTATCTGCTGATCAGGAGTCTAATTTACTGAGATAGGGTGAGAATGAAAAGCAGGGAGCCTTCTCCGAGGAAGGACATTTAATTTTCCATCGAAAGATACATAGGAATTAGCAGGAAGACGAAATTGAAAAGTTGGATGAAGATGAAAGACATTTTAGGAAGAGTGAACAGAATGCACAAGAGTCTTGAGTTAGGGAAAACCGTGTTCTAAAAAGCTCGCAAGAAGCCAACGTGCCTGGCACAAAGCGCAAAGAGACGGGAGTGAGCACAGCTCACTGAGGGAGGCAGGGCCTGGCGTGCTCCACGAGGCGGTCATTCCAGTACTCAGTGCCGTGCCATTATCAAGGGCTTCGGAGAAAGGACTTTGTCCCAACACCACTTCGCTCAACGTGGCTCTGCTGCTTTACTTTTCAGATGGCTCTCGGAAGACCGCCACGGGAACCATATGTATCGAGGTTCCTGATGCCAACGATTACTGTCCAGTGGTTTATTCTGAAACGAACATCATCTGTACTAATTCTCCATCAGTCCTCATCTATGTCCGTGACTCTTCTTACGGGGCCCCCTTTACCTTCTGTGTTGTGGACGAGCCACCACACACAGCTCACATGTGGGATATCAGACCCATAAACGGTAAGCAGAACGTATACTTCCTCACGCTTTACATCCAATGTCCAAGTAATCAGCTAAGTCATTTAATAATACTCCCTATCTCTTTTTTCATAAGTTTTTCCACATTCACATTAAATGAAAATAAACTTCATGTAGAGATTAGGATATTAGAGGAAATATTTGGACAAATAAAATCAAATGTTCAGACTACAGTCATAAATTGTCATATACATATATATACATCATGTATATAGTCCTTTATGTCAGTTTACTTGCCATTTTCTTATACAAAGAGGCAATAAACCAATAACTGCTCAGTTGAAATAAACAGAACTCTAACTCACCACAAGTCCCTGTTCTGAATAATTTCAGGCAAGTCACATACATGTCTCTGAAATTCAGATATCCCATAGATACATTTACACATATTCTACTTACTTGGGAGCATATAAGATCAATGACATTGTTTCTATAAAGCTACTAGATCAGACTTATGTGTAAGGGTAAAATTTTAAGTCCAAATTGTGCAATATTAGAACTGTTATTCAAACTATAGTACATATTATTAGGATGTGCTACTACACAACCATTAAAATAATAAGTATGCAAAGTATTTAAATACAAAGGAAGGAATAAACAAAAATGTAAAGGGAAAAGCACTTTCCAAAGTATGTGCATGTGTGCTGATGACAGCTATGTAAAAATCAGTGTCTGACATTGATTTAAAAAAGAAAGAGTAAGTCTCCAGCAACCCAACATTTTATCTATCTTGGGTTCTTTTTCCCAAACTATTCAATGTATAGGAGAAAACAAGGTGCCTTGAGAAGACCTGAGTTAACCCCCCTACCCCATATTCATTGAGTCAATGGGAGAGACTGTGTGGGGTACTGAGGTGGGGATCAGGCCACAGAGCCCCAGGGGAGAGGAAATTCCTCCACCTCCATGAGGTCACCACGCTTCATTCACAGAATTCAAAGAGTGGAAAACTCTAGAAAATGGTAGAAATGGTAGCACAAAGAATTAGAGGAATAGCTATTGGATTGATTTCTAATGAAAAGGCAGCAGTTTTAAATGAGATAAACAGCAGTCCTAAGGAAGATATTCTGTAAACTGTAGTCCTAAATAAAAGATGTCCAGTGTTTTCTTTTAGCTCAATATTATTCATCATTAGACAAAAATTTGAGTGTGTATTATATATTGAGTACTATTGTTCTGGAAATAAGCAGAGTCTCTTCCTTATAAAGTCACCACCTAGCAGGCAGCAGCGCTAAACAATAAATTTTAAATGAAAATAAAAATAAAATGGCAGGATGCTCTATGAGATTAAGAGCATGAAAACTTCAGGTTCTAAGTTAGTCTCGTGCATCAAAGTGCCACCCAGTGGTTCCACCACCTGCCTCGCAAGCACAAGGTCCCAAGTTTGATCCCTGTAAAAAAAAAAAAAAAAAAAGAAGAAGAAGAAGAAGTGTTACCACCAAGGAATTTAAATTATTATCTTTCCTCTCTTCCTTTTCAGATACTAGTGCCATCCTTATGACCGAGCAGATTTTATTAGAGCAACTTTACCAAGTCCCCATCCTAGTAAAGGACAGCTATAACAGACAGTGTGAACTGGCACAGATTGTGCAGTTAAATGCCTGCGATTGTGACAGCAACCACATGTGCTGGCAGTGGAGTACCACAGGCATCTATAATGGGGGTGTCAGCTCAGCGACTGATGACATGAATGGGTTTGTCACTGATCACGGAGTTGAGGACTCAAATGTTGGGCTTGGACCAGCCGGGATTGGCATGATTGTTCTCGGCCTCTTATTACTACTTCGTAAGTACTGATTTAAGTCATTCTTTTCAGCCATCCTTCAAAATAGCGCTCCCTGGGCTCACTGGGATGCTTAGATTAGGTACATTTGGCTCTTTATTTTAGTGTCCATAGCATTTTTTGTGTACCTTTATAAATAAATATACAATAGGAACTGTTAGAAAAGCACCTATTCAATAATGATATCTAAGATCAAGGATTCATGTGGGTTAAGAAACATGAACATCGCTAAGACTAGGATAGAAATCATAAAATTAATCCTGCAATGGAAATGTCATCAAAATGTTTCAAGAGTCAAAAGACTGCAGCAATTATTTCAAAATAGGGAGACTGGGAAAATCTTTGTGGAAAAAGTTAATTTTGAGCTGAGCGTAAGAAGAGCTAAGATTTTTCTTAAGAAGAATGATGTACAGGGGAAAATCCAAAAGGCAGTCTAGGAAAAAGAAATGCCAGAAACAAACAGGGAAGGAGCCAAATGTAGCCCAGTGGTAGAGCACAAAGCCTAGTGCCAAAACCAAAAGAAAACAAGAAGCAAACGAGGAGGATGGAAGGGCACAGCATACTCAAGAAGCAGAGACTAAAGGTAGCTTGGGGTCAATATGCAGGCGCATCTGAGATTAGATCAAACATGCGGGCCTCAGGCTATCAGCAAGAAGGAAACAGTGAGGACTTGTAGCTCAGGTGACCTGCTCCCTGTGATGTAATAGGGTGCAGGCGAGTTTAGAAAAGGAAATTTACCCCTTGGCTCTCTCTGAACTAAGAGCATAGTTACAGTAATGGAAAAACGTTCAAAGAGAGTCTCCTCTCCCTATATCTTTTGCAAAAACATGTAGGTCCTCAGAAGAGAGATATTTCATGTATTTTAATTTGCCCCTACAATCCTTAGATTTCATTGGGATCAAGTACAGGATTCTAAAATTTAAAAAGATTAAACTCATCAAACTGTACGGTTAACATGTATCAATGGAGGAGACCAAATTAAAATGTTACCATTTCAAAGTACCAAAAAACTTTCAAGCAGACTTTCTTTCTTAAAACAATCTGTGAGTTTACAAGGATGTATAGAAATCATGAATGATTCTCAAAATCATATTAGAGACATTTTCACAGAATATGTTTAAGCCTTCTAGGTTGTAGGGTTAAAAATCCAATATCAGCTATATTTTCAGCAGACTAGCACTAAGAATTTCACCATGATTCCCAACTCAGGCAAAGAAAGCAAGAGCAGTTTTAAACTCATTCTAGAATACTAGGGAAACTGCCCTATAAACAAAGTCACTCATCTTCAGTGGAGAAGCACATGGTCTGTCACAGGGGAGAGAGGCAGTGTGATGTGGGAGTGAGGGAACTAAGTCCAAACCTTACATTCCCAAATGGATTCAAATTAAGACTTTGCACTCTAGCTGAAATAAACTTATGCATATGGTAATTGTATATGCCACATGCTACAAGGACTCCATTTGATAAGTAGTGCCTTTGTTGGAGCTCATGCCACATGGTGCATGACTAGTACCCACTGGTGTACACCAAAACAGGGTAGGTGGGGCACTGCACAGAGACAACCAGTTACAGTTTGAGCCCTTTTCCAGAAAGTGCTCTGAAAATGTAAAATTTGACCTCTCTTTGTTCATGGTATAGATGGTAGGTAAAACTGCTGAATTCATTGTTTTAATGAAACAAGTAACAGGCTTGATGCAGTATCTTTCATATTCTTGTCTGAGCCCCTAATTAACCCATTCGGTAAATACGTGTTGTGCTAGGGTATTAGGAAAATAAAAAAGCAACTCGAGTAGAATCCAAGAACTAAAAGCAATGTATTCTAGAATCTTAGAAAACTTTGCTATAATTATAGACCAAAGTATACAGTCGTGGTCATTATCGAGACAACATATGAAAAAGTTTTTGTTAGTAGAAACATTTGGAAAGTTTAAACTTTGTGATAGCTTTGATTTTCCATTATATTTTATAGATAAAGTCTGGGGGGAGTGCCGGGAATTAAACCCAGCACCTGATGCAAAGCAGGTACTCTACTGAGCTACACCCTCAAACCCTGGATAAAGCTTTCAAATAATAAATGTAAATAGCTCAGTGAAATGTAGCGGGTGATATTTGATGGTTTTATTCTAAGTTCAAATAGAATGAGTGTTGCATAAGTATAAATGTAACAAGGGACCTATCTCTAGTTCTTACAACTGAGTCTTGTAGCCAAGTCTCTTGAAAAGACACATTAATGGTATGCTGAACTTATCTCTGGGTATGCTGTGCCTGGTCATGTGTTTGTATATAGGTGTCTATGTGGATGTGCCAATATAGACATGGTCTATGCACACACTAATATATTTTGCATGTACCTGTGGATGTACACATGCCCACGGAAGCATACATTTATATTTTTATTGATGCATGTGTGTGCATACATATATTCACAATCCTCAATTTAGGATGGGATTCATTCTGAGTAAACACACAGTGAATTGAAAAGCTCCTAAGTTGAAAGTGCATTTAATAGACCTAACCTACCTGTCATCACTTGTCAGCATAGCACCCTGGAGAAGAGTGGGTGACTGGGAACTGTAGCTCACTGCCATTGTCCAGCTTCAAAGGAGATGATTGGGCAGCAGTTATCACTAGCCGGGAAAAAGATCAAAATTCAAATTCCCAAGTAGATTCTACTGAATGTACATCCTTTTGACATCACTATAAAAAATTCATATAAGTCAAACCATTGCAAGCCTTGTACCATCTGCAGATACACAAACGCTTCTATATGTATATACAGATGCATATATAAATTCACATACGTGCACATTTGAGATTAGAATCCAAAACAGGATTGGGACACTGCCTATGGCACCTCCTGGCTCAGGTCTCTCAGAGTAGAAGGAAGATTAGATTCTCCTCCTAAGCTGACAGGGAAGAACTTGGGTCCTTGCATTCCAGCTCCAGAGTCCTCTGTGGTTGGGTGAGTCTGTATTTATGAACATGGATATGTATACTCGATGCTCCAGCGGGGGAAACTGATATGTATGCCTTTGGTTCTAACTACGATGCCGCAAAAAAAGACGCATTCGCAGGCTTCCGACCTTGAGCAATGGGTGCTAACTCTTCACCGCTCTCTTGGGCAGTGTCACCACTCTTGCTACTCATGTGCTGCTGCAAACGACGACAGCCAGACAGCCTGGGGACCAGGTTTGCTCCTGTGCCTGAGGGGGGCGAAGGAGTGATGCAGCCCTGGAGAATAGAAGGGGCCCATCCCGAGGACAGGGTGAGCCGCCTGCCCCTTCCACGGAAGCACGGGTTTTCCGTGAAAACCGGGCATCCTTTGACAATAACACAAAAAACACACAAAAGTGGGTAGACGTCGGAGCAAAAGTATTTAACATGAAGCGTGTATTTGAATTTTTTTTCTTTCCAGGACGTGGCCCATGTGCATGGACCCATGACAGCCTCTAACACCCACGATCGCATTGATTCTTCTGGTCAGTAAACATCAAATTCTGTCTTTTTAAAGTATGCAAAATTATTGAGTCAGACCAACCTCTTGTACGGAGACCTTATTTCAAAAAATCAATACACGAGCAGGGGATCTACCTCAGTGGTGCCTGCCTCGCAAGCGCAAGGACCGGAGTTCCATCCCCAGTACCAAAAAAAAAAAAAGAATACCTGTCAAACTTCTTAAAGGACAGTATTGTAAGAGGGAAAGTGACATGTGGGGCATAGCTACTTATTTTTTGTCTCCAAGTCCAATGTACGAAGTACTTCTCACCAATTAAGAGCACACTCTGAAACCAAAATGCCTGGGTTTGACTCCCAGCTCTGCCAGTCTGTGGGAAGTGACAGGAAAGGCCTGGACTCTGGGTCTATTTCCTCCTCTCTGAAACGAGGTTGTTACAGAACCTATTTCGAAATGTTGCTGTGAAAAATAAACATACACAGATGCACACATTATGTAGGTAATACACGATATATGTGTATACACGCTCACACCCTACACACATATATGTCAGGCTACAAAATATACTTTAAAATGGTGCCTGGCGCACACTAAGTGTAAGGTGATGATTGTTTATAATATAAACTTGAAAAAAGAAACGGCAGCCAATGGGAAAAAAAGAAGCACTGAATAAACTCTCCTCCGACTCACGCATGGTGTCATACTCTCCTAACTCACACTGTTCCCACCCACACCTAATACTGAAAACTACCCGGGCTATCGGGGATGATGGAACCACCACAGAGTAGCCGATTCTGAAGGAGACATTCGGACTTCAGAGCTACGATTCCTCGATATCCCAAGCCTGGTGCTTTCCAGGCAGAGAATAACGTTGACCCACGGTTGCGTCCCCGTCCCCGAGGGGTCACAGGAGCCTGCGCGCGGGCGGGCCCCTTCTGCATGTGACTTTTACTCTGTCGCCAAGCCTGGCGATTCCCGTTTAATCCTAGCGTCCACAGCCTAGCTTTCCAGAGCCTGCCCGATGTGCGCGCCATTACAGGGCCGTCCTCTCTTTGCAGAAATCTACACCAACACCTACGCGGGCGGAGGGACGGTCGAAGGGGGCGTGTCCGGAGTGGAGCTCAACACGGGCGTGGGGACCGCAGAGGTCCTGGCCAGTGGGGCGGCGGCGGCGGGAGCCTCGAGGAAGAGGAGCTCCACCATGGGCACCCTGCGGGAGTACGCGGACGCCGGCCTCAACGCGGCCTTCCTGGACACCTACTTCTCCGAGGTGATCGATCGCGTGCACCTTCGTGCGGGGCTGACCGTGACAGTACCGCCCTGGGGGGAGCTCCTTCTGAAATGCGGCCCATCCATTCTCTCCCCTGCCCTAACCTAAGTGACAAATAACTCGCTTCTTCTTAAAACGCACAAAGCCAACCTGCGGCAGTATATCAGAGTCGGTGACCATAACGCATTTTTAATACTGCAAAAAAGAAGGCCGGCAACCTTCGCGATTCTCCACTTTCCCTTTCCGTTCTTTAACCTTCCGTTCCCTGCTGGTTTCTCAGCGTTTCTCGTAGCAACAGAGAAGCTGGAGAATGAGGGTCAAGAAAGAGAACGTGTGCTCGTGTCTTCTGTAAACTTCTTCCTCCTGCAGGAAGACGATGCTGCAGTGGTAAACTACGCCTTAAAATGAGCAGCTAGAAGTACTGTTGCAGAGCATAATGAGCAGTATCGTCATTTAAATGACTGATATCATAGGGCCATTCAACATTACGTAAAAATCATCTTTTAGATCCTTTATAAAAATCACACCCATATCAAAGGAACACTGTCAATTTCAAAGTTGCACTTGACATTTTTTCCTTTGGTTACAAGCAGTCCGTTATGAGACAAATAAAATAAAAATTCATTCTCCTTTCTCTACAGGGACTGAGATACTTTCCAAACCATTTTAGCACTGCACTTAGAAAGCAGTGTAGAATGCAGGGTGATGTGGGGAGCCTAGACATGTCTGCGTCCCAGGTTAAGTCTCTACAGAATTGTGCCAAGCCTTCTTCCCCCCACTTTTTACAGCACCCCCTTCCTCCCCAGCCACCGTAGAAAGCGATGTCAAACTGTATCAGGAGACTTAGGGCCTGCTGCTCTGTAAGGTTCCATAGAACGCTTCAAGGGCCACAGAAGGTGGGGGAAAGGGAAGGGAGCTGGCGGGTTCCTACCCTGCTCCACTCCCTCCAAACCTGGAGGTTCCACTCTCTATATTTGGCTCCTGCCTAAGATTTTATTTAAAATAAAATAATTTAGGGGCCGGGGATTTAGCTCAGCAGTTCGGTGGCCTGCCTTGCAAGTGCAAGGACCAGAATTCAATCCCTGGTACCAAAAAAAAAAAAAAAACAATAATAATAATAATAAAATAAAATAATTTAGGGGCCGGGGATTTAGCTCAGCAGTTCGGTGGCCCGCCTTGCAAGTGCAAGGACCAGAATTCAATCCCTGGTACCAAAAAAAAAAAAAAAAAAAACAATAATAATAATAATAAAATAAAATAATTATAAAGTCATTGTGGATAAGCTCAGTGCTTTCCTTCTTAGTGTCAGCACAGCTGCCTTGACTCAAGCCACACAATACTTCATCAGCACCCTGGCGTAAGTGTGTGAGTTGAGAGAAATTCACATCTCTGTACACGCTTTCATTCCAAATTGATCAAATTTCCCTCCTGAAATCAACATTTTGAACATAACCAAGTATTTCTAGGTCATCTCAGAAACAAAGGACTTTAAGACCAAAAGATAAATACTATCTTTGATTCAAAATCTGAACAAAATATAGATATTATCTTTTATTATTTTTCCAATAAGAAAAATTCACATTTAATCTTCAGATTTTATGCCCCATCATGCACATTAATCTCCAAAAATATTCTAGTTACTTAGTAATACATCAATGTGCTAGTTTGTCTTTTCTGTTCATCCCATAAAATCTTTTTGGATCAAAAGTCTCTGAGGCATTGCTGTTATTCATCTTCGATTTTCTAACACCCCGTTTTTCTTCTCATTTTAGAAAGCATATGCATATGCAGATGAAGACGAAGGCCGGCCGGCCAATGACTGCCTGCTCATTTACGACCATGAAGGAGTGGGGTCTCCCGTGGGCTCCATAGGTTGCTGCAGTTGGATTGTGGACGACTTAGATGAAAGCTACATGGAAACCTTAGATCCAAAATTTAGGACTCTTGCTGAAATCTGCTTAGACACAGAGATTGAGCCATTCCCTTCACACCAGGCCTGTATACCCATCAGTACTGACCTCCCTCTGCTCGGCCCTAACTACTTTGTGAACGAATCTTCGGGAATGACTCTCTCAGAGGCTGAATTCCAAGCAGAAATGGCAACAGCTGAGCCAGTCGTTCATGGGGACATCATAGTGACCGAGACCTACACAACCGCTGAGCCATGTGTCCAACCCACCACCATTGTCTTTGACCCGCAGCTCCCACCCAATGTCGTAGTAACCGAGACAGTAATGGCGCCTGTGTATGATGTTCAAGGGAATATTTGTGTGCCTGCTGAGATAGCCAACACACACAATGTATACTATGCTGAGCGAGTACTGGCTAGCCCTGGGATGCCTGACACGAACAGTGCTGGCATGGCTGATGCTTGTGTGGGACCTGTGATGAGTGGTGGTATTTTGGTAGGGCCAGAAATTCAAGTGACACAAATGGTGAGTCCAGACATTCACATAAGCCAGACTATCGGCTCCACATCCCCAATGACACCACGACATAGAGTAACACGATATAGTAATATACACTACTCCCAGCAGTAAATGCTTTCTGGCCAATATTCTAGAGACCTTACACCCTGATAATCACCACCAATGTATCCATCAGAGACGAATAATGTTCTCTATCGACATTTTAACAGTTGACAAACATTCAAATATTCTAAGTTTAATGTGGCTCTCTGATTACTGGGAGGGGGGGTTAGGGTAAGCACCTTAGGTGAGACTTTCCTAGTTTTTCTGATTTTAAATAATGTGCAAAAAAAATTGAAGAAAAATGTTTTCTGTCCTTTGACACTGTCAAATAAATAGCACATGGTTCATTTTGCAAGTCCTCCAGGTCTTGAGGTTTGTAGAAACACTCATGTAAATTAGTATGCCCTTGTCCTTGCGAGTTGCAAGAGAAGTCTTGTCAGCATCCATTGGCATGTTTTTCTTTAAAGAAATATTTCTACTAAAATTTCTTAATTGAAGAAATGAATGCAATGTCCATTTCAGAGAGGACATTGAGGAGAGATATAAAACATATCTAAAATCATTTGTTTTGTCACATGATTTCTCCAAATAAGCAGTATTAAGCAATAGAGCATGCTTAGTATAAAAAAAAGTTTGCCAAGTGGGATTAGCTCATGAAAAGGAAATACATATGAATTTTATTGCACTTTATTGATTAATATAATTACCTATAAATTAATTTAGAATTGCAAAAAATTATAAGTCTAAAATAAAAACAGATCTGAGAGAAAGAATTAGCATTTTCCTACATTTACTAATTATATCAAAAAAAGAGAGAAATAAAGAGTTTAATCAGTTTTATTTACCTAAATCATAGAGCTTTCATTTGGCAACCTGACAGTCTCTAAAAGCACATCTGTAATTATTTATATATTCAACAATATTTACTTAGAATGCTAATGAATGTTGGTCTTGGCTCTGTGAACATAGAGGTAAAGAAGAGAGACATGATTTGTACCTACATAGAGCTTTTTTTGTTGTTGTTTTGTTTTTGGTTTTTTGTTTGTTTATTTGTTTTGGGTACTGGGGATCGAACTCGGGACCTTGTGCTTGCAAGGCAGGTGGCAGCACCACTGAGCTAAATCCCCAGCCCTTCAGAGAACTTTTAATTCATTTCTAGACTTAAAATTCTGAGATGTAGCCTTGAAATTCCTACCAAACTTTGTAAGATCATCGCCAAGTTGTGTTTCTCTTTCTAATAAAACTTGCATGTCGAATGAATGAAATGGAAACACACGCACAGATTGCTTATTTTTAGTAGCCATGAAGCTGGCTTAAGAAAGAGAAATTCTGGCAACTACTTTTCTGAATTCTGTAAAATATGTAAACTATAGAGTAGTAACTATAATGTGACTAGAAAGACAATGTAAATGAAATAAACTTATTTTGAGGGCTCATTCCTTTTGCAAAGATCTACAGTACTTCTTGCTTTTTTATGTTTCTTTATGAATAAAACCATGATGGAATTCGGGCATCTTACATAATCTCTTGCTCTACTGTCTCATTTTACAGACAAAGAATCTAGAAATAAAGAGGATAAATGACCACAACCATTTAGCTGTGGTACAACATTTTGTACCTATTGCTCAGATACCCTGGCTAGTGTTTCAATACTATATCTTCATCAGAATGGAGAGAATTTAACTCTGTCTATTGTATAGTCTTTGCTATTCCTAATTGGGACAAAAAAAACTCTCAAAAAAAAGTTTTGCAAAGCTTAAATGCAGAATGGCTAAAACACTGTAGTCCTAGAATTATTTACATATTTTACTATACTTTCCAAAGTGCACACTACACACCCTGCCAACTGTTTGTTATTCCTCACTAGTTTCATCAACGATTCTGCTACATTTCACTCATCTGTAGTTTGACTAAATCCATGAAGTAGCCTAGCTCCTTCCAAGATCATTTTCACAACCCGTCAATAACCGGCCACTTAGCATCTTGTACGCACTCAGTTCTGCAGCACTTTCTGATATTGACATTTCTCTCTTGAAATATGCACTCTGTTAGACCAATTCTAAAACTTGTTAAATAGTGAGTGAGTACTTACATGCACAATGCAAGTGAGGCTAAAACTGAAAGTACCACGAGACTAGAGCAGTAAAGGATAAAAGAGAACTAAGCATTTCACTAATAGAGTAAAAAAAGTTTAAAGAGCTGAAAATCACTTGCAAGGAGGATTTAAAAAATGGTTCTTTGAACTTTTTTTCTGTCTCCTTATCAAGACATGAAAGAGGACAGACACCTGTCGTGGATCCCTCCCTCCCCCTGTGGCATAAGACCAGGTCCATTTCAGTGACCCAGCATTTGCAGTGAGGAGCCCTCCCATCAGGCAAGGATGGTCAAGATCATTCACATGCACCTCAAGCCTCTCCAGTAGATTTGCCTGCAAATATCACCTCAGGCAAAATAAAAAAGCATAAGCTACATTCCTCACTCACTGCATACACTGTAGGGCACTGATTTGTCGAGGAAGTAAACTTGATATAGCATTTTGGTTAAAGTTTGAAAATGACCTCAGACATCCAGGAAATGAGATATAGCAAATAAAAATATAATAATATATAGTTCGAGTGATATTGTCTGACCTTGGAATTACGTGAAGAGATAGCATCATTAGATGAATAAATGGCTCTTTTTGGAAAAGTCCTCTATGAAAGGAAAAGAAAACATTTATAAAATAAGAATATGAACTTGTTCAAAAAAAGTTATTTTTTAAAAAACTTTCTCTTTTGGACTAGATATTTCTGATTGCAAATATATTATTAAATGTGATCGTGTTTTATATGTGTCTTCACATATGTGATGAGAGAAAAATGTTTCGTTCTATCATTGATGCAAGTACCACTCCATTCACAAACCCAGACACACATTCAGAAAATTACTCCCATGGTTACTAACTGATTACTATCTTTACCACTGTGAACACCCCAGAGTGATGCAGATTCATTTGTAGACTGAAATTCAGAATAGTTTACTAATGATAAATCGTCTCCATAACATCATTGCTTTGTGAATGCTCATTACAAAAAAAACATCAGAAATTGTCCTGGACATTGTCATTATAGAGCTAAATTTAAACTCAACAAAATTAACTATAATTTATGTACCAGCCGAACCAATTTCTGTGGCAATAGCAAAAGAATAATTAATTTCCATTGGGAACTGAGGAATCTCTATCAAGATGGTAAAATCTGAGTTAGGCAAGGAGAGGAATACAAAAGTATAGAAGCCAAAACACAGGCTCTATCCAAAGACTATTACATGGTCAAATTAATGTTTGTTTTGTTTGATTTGTTTGCTTGTTTGTTTGTTTTTATAAATTAACACATATATTTAAATATTTCTTGGTCTCTCTTCTTTACATTGATCTATTGTCATAGATGCTGGTACTTCTCTCACTGAAGTCATGCTACACTGTTTTTCAGTTTGTTTTGATAACTGCTGGGGGCACTCTCCACTTATTACTGATTTTTTTTTAATTACATTGGCACTTCTAATAGACTCAAAATTTTTAGAGACGGGTTTTTATTAGAATTAAAATTAAACTGAATTTATAGATTGATAAATGGGAGACCTTCAAAACTCCAGCGTGAAGCTATGTCTTTAGATTTTATATTCTGATATTTTACACAAGATACTTTGGAATGATGTTACCATTTCTGAAGTTATCAGGTCAATAACAGAGCCTGTTCATATTGAGAGTGCCTTGCATGGGCTGGGCATGGTAGCACACACACATAATTCCAGCATTCAGGAGGCTGAAGCAAGAGGATTGCCATAAATGAGTTGGAGGCCAGCCTGGGACTCATAGTGAGTTCAAGTCCAATATGAACTACAGTGAGACCCTGTCTCAAAAAATATTTTTTTAAAAACACTGCTTTTCACTATAGCACTATTTTGCTATTTTTTTAAAGTTTTGTGCTTTTTTTTTTTT